TTGGGGAAATGTAAGTATTTGGCTTCAATAATTTACATGTTAGAAATATATGTGTAATAGCATAACCTCTCATAATTCCTCTAATTCTTTTCTGATGGCTAAAACATAACCTACAATAGTAGAGGTGACTATTCAATTCATCATCTAATGCATATCAATGGATTAACTTAAAAAATGTATATAATAAGTGTAAATAATTTAATTGTCTTCATAGCTATACTGTAGAAGTTAAGAAGACTGCAACTATTTTCATGAAACTATAACACTGACAGCCTTTTACAGGTACACTTAGTTCAATAGCCTATTGAAATGTCTTGGCCTATGTGACACTAGAAATTTCAGTTAGTTTTAATTTACAGTGCAAATGAAGGCACAAATCAGTTTAATTTATCTTTTAATCAAATGAGAGTTAAACTCTTTATTTTTTGGCAAAGGGTTTACTATTAAAATTAAAACATGGAAGAAATAGCGTTTTGTGTGATTATACTTTTAAACAAAAGTTGTAATTGTTGTAGTAGTATTATGCATATCATACTGCACCACTGTAATATATTTCTGATAATTTCTTTAAGCTAACCCCAAACTTATATTTTGATGGGTTGTCATGAGGAACTTTTAAGTTTCTGTAGCCTATGTAAGTGTTTCCCATACATTGATTTATTTGTGGCGCCCGCCACAATATCAAAACTGACCGCCACAAAAATAGATTTTCCAAAAGGCTTTGACTTCGTTGAATAAACATGAGCACTGCACATTTCAAAATTGAAACCCGGTGCGGGTGTTTTTATATCACTATATTTCTGAAGGAACCTGACTGCCTTCAGAAAATTTTGGATGTAATTTTCATTTCATCTTGCATGTAATATCTGATAAAGCAGCATTTGTGAGCAGAGCGCTGCTTTGTGAACAGCGTTACCGGGGAAATCTCGATCTCTACCACTCCAACAGCACCTCCTGCTGGCAGAGAATTAATTTGCATATATATGCCTCCACAAGTCTGTGGGAAACACAGCGATAGTTTTACTCAAATGAAACTGTCAAATGATCATGAAGTGACTCTCAGAGGGAGTCAGCGCAGTTCTGGAGATGTTGGTCATGTATTTATGTCCTCATGTACTGAGACGACAGAAGCTGAAATCACCGTGAGCGTCACACACTTTGTATGTGTAGAAAACAAAAACGCGCATCTGTGCCATTTACATACACAGAGACACGCAGAACATGCATGATTCATATTTAAATAGTGTTTTTGTGGCTTAATATTTACAGATTCTAGTTTATATCGCGACTCTATTTAAGTGTACTGATCTACTTTTGATTAATTCATCCAAACTTTGACAAATTCTGTGACATTCCATGTCATACAGTAAATTCCATTTATATGACTGGATTCCGCGATTCCGTCCACATTTTCTGCATCGCGGAAATCATAGATAATATTGAGGTGTTTTGCAACTTCAGTGTAACGTTAGTGGATTGTGATTTATTGCAAATTAAGCAACGTCTGCTGCTACCTTACCTTTGAGAGAAAACTGATGCGTGATCACTGAAGCAGCTCCAGTTAGCAAGTGCTTTCGGAGTGAGCGTGAATTCCGCATTGATTGGTCGGACTCGTGACTCCCAACAAATCAGATGGGCGGTGGGCGGAGATTGGTTTAAGCCACAGAGTGGTGAGTTCTGACAAGCTGCATTAGAGCCAAATAGGGCGTTTCAAAATTAAGTAATTTTTTCGGCTAATCGCTTTTTGAAAACGACCGATACCGATAATCATAAAAATGCTTAATATCGGCGCCGATAATTGGTCGACCACTAATTTATACTACATTTTTTAGACTACTGCTTTTCAAACAAATACCTAGAAACCATATACTTACATTTTTACCATGGTATTGAGGCGCTATAAAATAAACATCCGATTTATTTCCCAGCAGTTTACCTCCACAGACATAACCGACTGTTTTGTAACTCGTGTGTGTTTTTAACGTAAACTTGTGTGTGAATGAGAACTTAGTTTAGTACTCACATGCTGTGTGGTGGCCGCTTTATGTCTGTGTGCGCTCAGAAAACCGTATATCAGAAGTTTAAACTCGTATGCTTTAAAACGCATGATTTCAGCGCGATAAACATGATTATCAGAACCAAAACAGATGTTTTTAGCATGTCCGAGCTGTAATGGCGTAGCTCTATTCTGGAAAAGGCTCCCACTCAAAATAGGCATTTTCAAAATGAAATAATAAATGATCTGTGGCGTATTTTGAGCTGAAACGTCAAAGACTCATTCTGGGGACACCTGAGACTTATATTACATATTGTAAAAAATCTCATGATCTAAATGTATGCTACTGTGGAAGACCAATGGTTAATTTGAATAAAACTCAAAACAGTCAAAATAATTAAATTTCACCATATAAAAATGAGGTTGTTTTTGATAATAAACAAATTTACCTGCTTCATGATTTGACACAATATCACTCATTAGAACATTCAGATAGGGCTGTGACAGTCGCCGTGACAACCGCGTTGTCTACTGCCACCGTCAGTAGTGCACGTGACGTCACGCACTCTATAACAAGCATAATACAAAGTTTTGTATACAATTGTAATAACAGTAATAATAGTAGCGAAACAGTGAACCGTGTCTACACCGGACGCGACACCACCGCGTCGCAACAGGTTGAGTCTGTCTAGTGTCTACACAGGACATTTGAACTCTGTGTCATTACCTCATAAATAGAACGAGGCAGTTTAATGTCGGGGATTTGTCATGTAGTGTCATGCCACATCCAGTGTAGCATCACTGATTATAATGAGTTTTATAGTATTTTGTCTTGTAGACAAGGTGTATTTAACTTTCTTATTTAGGCTACTTGTTTAACTGTATTATTTCTTTGATATTTATTTTAGTGTTTTGCAGGCTGCGTATTCACTGACTGAATTGCTAAAATAAACATGAGCTGACGAGTTAAATCGGGTGTGTTAGATGAGTGAGACAGTGCTGGGCTGCTCCAGGACAGTTTTGAAAACCATTTCAGAGACATGTTCTTAAATGTGACTCATATAAAATGTATTGCATGCATGCACAGTTTTAAGGCAGCTTTAAAATCACCTTTTTGGTAACTTCATGACTTAACTGACCACGGTATTGCATGCACGTAGTTTATTTCGCGCTTTGATATGAAAGGATACAGGCTACAGCGCGCCGGCGCCTTTGTGCATGCAATTGAAGAGCACAGTACCGTTTCCACGCTCGCTTGACTCGCGCCTGGCACCGATTGTGAAGAGGAGCGCGCTTCTGAAACGTCTCCCGTTCTCAGCCGTTCTGCGACTGAATAAATGCATTTCTTGTCAAGAGAAAAAGTGACAGAAGCAGCAGTTGTGAGTGGGGTGTCCAACCCTAGCCCCGCCCCTGCGTTAATTGCGTTAAATATTTTTAAATGCGTTAAACTGAAAAAATTTATCGCCTGCGTTAATGCGCTAATTTTGACACCACTAAAGTAGCGAAACAGTGAACCGTGTCTACACCGGACGCGACACCACCGCGTCGCAACAGGTTGAGTCTGTCTAGTGTCTACACAGGACATTTGAACTCTGTGTCATTACCTCATAAATAGAACGAGGCAGTTTAATGTCGGGGATTTGTCATGTAGTGTCATGCCACATCCAGTGTAGCATCACTGATTATAATGAGTTTTATAGTATTTTGTCTTGTAGACAAGGTGTATTTAACTTTCTTATTTAGGCTACTTGTTTAACTGTATTATTTCTTTGATATTTATTTTAGTGTTTTGCAGGCTGCGTATTCACTGACTGAATTGCTAAAATAAACATGAGCTGACGAGTTAAATCGGGTGTGTTAGATGAGTGAGACAGTGCTGGGCTGCTCCAGGACAGTTTTGAAAACCATTTCAGAGACATGTTCTTAAATGTGACTCATATAAAATGTATTGCATGCATGCACAGTTTTAAGGCAGCTTTAAAATCACCTTTTTGGTAACTTCATGACTTAACTGACCACGGTATTGCATGCACGTAGTTTATTTCGCGCTTTGATATGAAAGGATACAGGCTACAGCGCGCCGGCGCCTTTGTGCATGCAATTGAAGAGCACAGTACCGTTTCCACGCTCGCTTGACTCGCGCCTGGCACCGATTGTGAAGAGGAGCGCGCTTCTGAAACGTCTCCCGTTCTCAGCCGTTCTGCGACTGAATAAATGCATTTCTTGTCAAGAGAAAAAGTGACAGAAGCAGCAGTTGTGAGTGGGGTGTCCAACCCTAGCCCCGCCCCTGCGTTAATTGCGTTAAATATTTTTAAATGCGTTAAACTGAAAAAATTTATCGCCTGCGTTAATGCGCTAATTTTGACACCACTAATAAATATAAATATAAATAGCCCTACATGCAGATACTAAGAAATAAATTTTTCAATTAAAATATTTATTTTGTTAAGGAAAAAAAATGACTGGAAAAGTGTACAAATTTCATAAGCGTGAAGTGTTTGTCATGTTCTGACCATAAAGAGTAATTTAAAACCACAGTTAATGGTCTGCTTTCTACAACTTTCACTTAGGAGCAAAAATCTGCCATTAAACTTGAAAGAAATAAAGATTTGGCATTTATTGTTAGAATTATCGATATCGACTGATATGAAAAACCCATATCGACCCAGCCCTACCGTGACCGTTGTGTTACAAGTCCGACTCCCCAACCATTAGGCCACGACTGCCCCCTACTGTGGGAAAACACTGAACAATTTGTGCTTTTATGGAACATTGAGCAACTATACAATTACATAATTTCCTGAGCCTTAACATAGTTTAATGAATAAATGTAAGACAAATGATCAGTTTAACAAAAGCACAATATGTTTCTATATAACATGAGATATGAGGCATATGGTTGGTTATTTTAATTTTTAAAAAAATTAAGCTTTTTACAACTTTTTCAACCTTAGACATTCTATTTTGACTTTACAATACATTGGTATTGAAGCTGTTAAATTACCTTGAAGAGGGGGTGATATTAACCATTTTTACTTTTAAAACGTGAAGCATATTGGATTTACACTTTGAACACATTATCACCCAATGGTTTTAACGAAAAATTTGATATTCGCCCTTTTCTCTTATTACATTGATTTATGTGTTTGTTCTGATTATATGTAATTTTATCTTTTCTTGGTGTTGGCCATGTTGTGTTTTTTTTCTGTTGTGAGAGATATTGCTTACTGATGTAGATTTTTGTAGTCAGGTATTTTTTATAGGGTATGTATATGTTTAGTGTGTGAAGTTAATTATTGTTTTCACTTTTATGTGATGTGTTCATTGCCCTTATGTGATCTGATTTGTTGATTGGCCTTGTGTTGTGGGTTTTTTTTTTTTTTGGTCATGTGGGTGATCACGTGATTTAGGGTTGTGTTGTATATAAGGGCTGAGCTTTTAGGCTCGAAACGTCACCTGTGTTGAGAACATAATTACATATTTTTTTCTACTTTTGGAGCTGTGGTGTGCCAAATTAGATTTTTTGTGGTTGAGCACCTACACTGAGCTTTTGGCCGGCTGGATGTGCGCACTTTGATTGGAATCTTTGATAAAAACATTATGAAAAATATTATTTGGAATAACATGAACTTTGGACCAATCATGCAAAACAACACCAGGAACGTGTACTAAGAAAGTCAAGTCAACAAACTGACCTTAAGTAAATGTCCGGCTGGACTGAACATTACAATGAGAAGAGAACAGAAAACATGGAACAGAAAAACTCAAAATGAGTCAAAAGTGTTGAGTTGTTTCTGTGGAAACCAGAACTGTCTGAAAAACTCACAGCAAGATTATCTATGTATCTAGACAGACTGAAGACTGAGGAATAAACTAACAACTAGTTGAGATAATGGTACCACTTGGGGTAAAAGCAAAACACCCTACAAGCCAACATTTCCAATTTGAATGCAGTACACAACACACTAAAAGAAGACTAAAAGCTAAGAAAACTAAGAGTGAGGGAAACTAGTGGCTTAGCAGTCAATTTCCCCACAGATATTTAGTTTATGTAATTGTTCAAAAAAACTCACTTGTTTAACTGATCTGCTCTTTTCCATTTCTAAAGTCTGCACCATTCCTAATACAACCTCAAATTGCATGCAAGAACAAAGGTTTTAGAACTCACAAAAAAGAACAAAATCTTTCTGAAAATCAGAGACAAACAAAAACGTGGGGGTCTTGAAGGCCAATGGGCGTCTCAGGAGAGGCATCTCCTAGAAGGCAAACATCCTGTGCTCAAATAACGACAGGAAGTGAGGTCAGTACGTGAACAATAACATGAAAATCTCACCGAGTTCCAGCATGGTGGAATTAAAAGAACAATCATAGAGCCATGCATGTGCTACTCTGATCATGCCAATGGACATCTTGCGTACAGCTGTGACGGAGGACAATAAAGGAATTAATACATGCAAACGGTTCCTTGATGGCGCTTTGATATTATTGTTAGATCTTCCCATGTATGCCTGGAAGATTCAAACAGAAAGATTAAACCTTAGCTACACAGAGTGAGCATGCAAATCACACACACACACACGACATGTTGGGGGGGTGGGGAAAAGCAGAAATGTCACGCTGTCTTTATTACTTGAATCACAAAGTACAAGCCTCTGGCACGGTTTAAAATCAGTCTTCGCAATACATCTGAAATCTAGCATAGAGACCCCCAAGAGATCTACTGCACTCTGTCTTAATATCATGAATTATACATGGAATACAAAAGAGACTCAAAGTACTTCCTTTGGGGGGTTACAAAGTTAGAGCATTAGATAATATTACTATTATTATATATAATTAAAAGTTAAATATAAATAAAAATGTTATTGTTATTATTATGGGAACGGAGCGAGGCCGGTGACGCGAGTGATAAAGAGCGACACCTGCACCACTCACCGGTCTCGAGTCCCACGGAGGAGCTCCAGAAGGGTAAAAGTGACTACAGTGAAGGACGAGAGAGGACCAGGCCTGAACTATTTATGTTGTTGTTTTATTATATTTTATGCGGCAGTCATCTTGTGAGGGGCTGCTGCTTTTATGCTTGTTTTGTGTTTATTTATTTGATTATTAAAGTTTTATGCTTAAATGTTTGCCAGTTCCTGCCTCCTCCTTCCCTGAGCTATGAACATTGTTACAATTATTAATACCATTATTAATAGTAATACAATTTCTACAAAATGTAGTAACTTTATTTTAATTATATATTTAAAATAATATAAATGTATACAAAACACAGGTTGAATTTCCAACAAGAACTCTATTATTCTTTTATTAACATGAGTTACCAAGAGTCATACCACCCACCGATTGTATAATCACCGACAGTACTCTCTGCCTGAATTTTAGGGTGGCACTGGGATCGTTAAAAGTCATGCCTTCTTAAAAAGCTTTCTATTGTTTTGGCTAATCCATACATTAGCATTCAAATAGTTCATTTCAAGGCACTTCCAAAATTCCCTTCTGAATAAAGGATGGGGGGGAAGAGGTCTCTAAAATCTCACCACATCCTCAGTACAACCTGCTGTGCTTAATGAAGTGCCCAAGGGCACCACCTCTTCCTCTCTCTCTTTCATCTTTCCTCTCTAGCAGCACAAGGGACAGGCCTAATTCAGCCTCCACATGGCACTTCTTTTGATGCTGTCAAAAAAGGAGAATCAAAGTAAAAAGATGAAAACATTGCCTTGTATTAAGTTGCAGCAGCAGTGAAGCATTTATAGATGTGGTTAGCTGATCTGCAGGTATTGTACTGGGGCAAAAGCTGACTGGCCAGAAAATGACAGTAGACCTGTGGTGGCAGAAATTTGAGTCTGTCTGCCCAATAAAATGGTCGCATGAGGAGAAGATGCAAGGGGGAGGGGAAAAAGAGTGAGACAAAAGGAGACTGGAAGATCACTTGCACCCTGTACATCTACAAACCTGGATCTCCGCCCCAAAGGTCTGCTTCTGTAAACGTCTGGTCAGAATGCTACAGGCATATCTTCTTTTGTATTCAACATAAGAAAGAAACTTATACAGGTTTGGAACGACATGAGGATGAGTAAATGACGACAACATTTTTTGGTTTAACTATTCCTTTAAAGTAGTGTTTCTCAATGGGGGCGGTACCGCAACATACAGCAACACTGCTAACTTGAGCACAGCATTTCAGTAGCAATTAAACCAGCATCAGAATTTAATCTGAACAATTATGTCTTACAAACTCAAATAAACATCAAATATAGAAGTATCTGCAATGGACAATATCAGGCCTAGGTTTAAAATAAAATAAAATAATAATAAAATAATAAAAGAAATGCAATAATTTTTTTCATTGACAGTCTACAGTTTTCTGTAGATTCCCATCACTGTTCCATTCCCACTAAACACTCAAACACCAATGGTGAACCAGTGGTCCAAGTAGGATACATCTGCTGTGAACTGATGACATGATCTCAGTGAAGACTATTCTTTGTCTGTTGAAGGTTTGGGAGAACTGGGCAATGAATCATGGGTTTAAGACTGAAAGTGATCAGTCTGACTGTGGAGGAGCCGGAACAGGAAACCATAGGGAAAAGGCCTCAGGAGAGGTCGTTACATAAACCCTTACTTTATTATCCTACAGTCCAAGTTCCTGTCAATGGAACTGGTCCATGAAAGCGAGGGAGATTGTAAGAGAGGAAGAAAAAGAGCCCACTGTATAGCGTATCATAGCGAAGGCTCACAAGACGCACCCGGCAATCACATGCAAGTCATATCCAACTCTAAACACCAAGTTAAACTTGCAATTTAATGTCAAACTAAAACCACAGATAAGCGTGACTCATCAGCCAAAAACAGAGACGTTTACAGAATAACAGGAGAGGCACATTAGTAGAGTTTCAGTCATCAACAATTCTTTTTCCATTCTCGATCACTTCAATGTAATGACTCGTAAGACTGGTTCAATTTCCAAAACCATTCTATGATTTATAACAAAAGAGTGCACAAGAAATAAAAACATTAATTCTTTGTATGAGGCATCACTTGAATGCTATATCAATCAAAGGGCAACATTCATCAGGAGGAAACGGGTTAGTGCCTGAATCATTATTAGGTCACAAGGCATGTTTGCAAAGCTACACATTACTGGGGTCATTAACACGAGGACCACTGAGAGTGGGAACAACTGTTGTTTTGTGGTGCTAGGGACACTTGGACAGTTCATGTCCCCAGAAAACTTACTCCAAGAACAAATGACTGACTGTAACATCTGATAAATTAGCCATCCATTGCGTCAGGGGGCAGCCACGTGTCAATTTTACTCATAAAAAGGAAACTCTCAACATAACCTCTAACCCATACGTACAGAACAAACCGGGCATCATTATTTGATTGAAATACTGAATAAGACCATTTTAAAGACCAGATGTTTCAAAGAGTTTAAAAAGATCCCATGAAGTGGTTTGATAGATGCAGTTTATGCATTTCCTTTTGTAACAGGAAGTTTGAGAGGGAACTACCGAAGGACTTGTCTATTAAAAAATGTACCAAATAGATTTTACAGAAACCGAAATTCAAGTTTTAATTTAGCTGAAAATAAACTTTATTTAATAATCAATGAATTGATTACATTTATTTAATAATCAAAACTAAACTAATTTTCAGTCGAATATTTTCGATTGAAGACATTTTGGTGCCGCTCTAAAAGAATCAACAGTTTTTTTATGTCATGTCAGAGCCACATGACTTGCTAGTTCAAATCTCATTCTAGAAAGCATTTAATTGGGACAAATCTGACTGCCAACATTTAGGAGTATAGTAGCAGGGCAGCCACGTGTCAATTTTACTCATAAAAAGGAAACTCTCAACATAACCTCTAACCCATACGTACAGAACAAACCGGGCATCATTATTTGATTGAAATACTGAATAAGACCATTTTAAAGACCAGATGTTTCAAAGAGTTTAAAAAGATCCCATGAAGTGGTTTGATAGATGCAGTTTATGCATTTCCTTTTGTAACAGGAAGTTTG